AATTTTCACAGATTTTTATATTTTTGTTTGTAAACAATAATTGAAGAGTTTTTATTAAAAATCACCAATGTTAATAATAATAACTTAAGTCAATATTATTCTTTCTCCTTTTTTAAAGCTAGTATCAATAAAGATATTACTTTAGCTTGACCTATGATCAATTTTTAAATTTTGTGATATATTTGGTTCGACAGAAAAAAAATTATAACCCTTTGACATTGGTTGTTTTTACTTAGATTTTCATAACAAATAAACGGAACTGCAAACATGTTTTACTATCGTAATAATGAATAGCAACATTAAATTTTTTTTTTTCACATTTATCACTGTTGTCATTTTCATAAAGGATTGGTATGAAGGCACACTTTCTGGTTTTTTGAAAAAGGTGGCAAGAATTGTGATATTTTTAAATTTATCACCAGTGATACCACATGTAGTTACCCGATTTATTGGAATATATAGACTTTACTACCACATTCAACTGAACTTGGTTGTTTTTAATATTTATCACTGTGACATAGGCGTTTTTGTCAAATTGTTTCATTTTAAACTGCTGTAAATAGGTGCCTTTGTTTTGGTAGTTTTAGTCCCAAAAAAATCTATGCATATACAGGTACTCATTCCTCTTTGATTTGTTCGAAAAGTTAAAATTTTATAAAAAATTACATTGGCTGTTTAAAAACTCATTATAATCCCTGAAATGTGATAATTAGGTAAATTAAATTAAAAAAACAAACAAAAAAAATTTATTAAATTAATATTTACTCTTACAAAATAGGTTCTTGTAAGTTAACAAGCAATTATGCAGATATTACTAAGTAAATGTACTTGCTTAAAATTCACACACGAATGTGGTTTTAACATGTTAAATTAAATTAACTAACTCTTTCCACATGTATTCTTAGAGATGCTATTCTTTTCTCGATTCTTTTACTTAATTGTACATCTTCTGGAGAACTTTTTTCATTCTGTGATACACTAGGTGTGGCTTTACTAAAGTGCATCCCATGTTTTCAAGTAGCTGAATATTCTGAAACCCCTATCTGCCATTATATGGGATCCAGGAACCAGTTTGTTTAAATACCCACATTTTTCTATTATTTCTTTATCACTAGTTCTTCCACAAAATGAAGAATAAATTCGGTATCTTCAAAACTTTCAGGAGATTCTGCATTTTCTTCCAGAAGGGTTTTTAGGTTATTCACCTAAGAATTTATAGTAGCCTAATTTTCAATTTCCTGAAGGGGACAATTAGCAGAAATTGCTGCTATATCTTGATAATCCGGTGTATTTTTATTAAAAAGTTTACGAGAAACATCGCTAGTAGAAGGTTGATTTTCTTCTTTCCAAATTTCTAGGAACACTAATAAATATTTTTGAAAATGAATGTGAATCATTATCACATTCTGGAACAAAACACTTTTTCGTAGTCATAATATTTATAAAAAGTACAAAATTAAACACTCAAATTCCAAATAAATTCTTGATCGAGACACTATGATGACAGATGCCATACACAGTGCTGCCATACACAGTGCTGCCATTTTGCCATTTTCTGAATTATTAAGTGACTTTGAAAACAATGAAACGTTAAATATGGTAAAAGTTTAAACAGAAATAATACTTTCAAAACACATTTGATATTATATATTTAAAAGATATTTGTTTAACGATGTTTTAGAAGTCTAAAAGTAAAAAGGAGTACACAAACGAACGTACATCACTTCTCGTAAACCTTCTAGCCGGCAACGTTGTGCGCTAGCTCCTATTGGTCTATTCCCGGTGACGTCATAAATTTTTAAAAAATTCATAACTCCGGCAAATGAATAGATAAAAAAAAAATAAAAAAAATGTAGTTTTATTTTTAACTCTACTATTCATAAAAAAAATTTCAAAATTTTTGAACATGCCCCATTCCCATTTATTGCTGAAGAATCCTAATAAGGATGACATTCTCCTTAGTGGGCATAATCAAAGGCAGATTGTTGGAAATATTTTTATATCTCTATTTTCTTTCGACGTTATTCAATACTCATTGGTTACTATGAACAACTACTAAAGATACCTATAAAATATTTTGCTGAATATCTAGGATATCCTGGGATATAGACGGACATTTGGTTGGATATCTCTGCGATTTCTTATATTGTCTGGAAGATACTCATTAGATATTTTGCTGAATATCCATAGGATATCTTCTATATTCTGGATATAGACGGACATTTGGATATCCATATTAGATCCACGGAATATTTCTGATATCCTGTGGATATATTGGATATCCACAAAAGATATTCTGTAAATATCTCTGGGATTTGGTGTGTTGTCTGGGTAGATTAATATTAAGCTAGCAGGACCACATTAAAAAAATAAAATAAAAATAAAACAAAGGTAGAATTAAAATGAACTGAATTTGTACCAATTTGTACCACCAATCAATTTTTTGTACTATGTACGGTTTATAAAAAAACACATGGTGCTTCTAGTTTAATATTAAGCTAGCAGGACCACATTAAAAAAATAAAATAAAAAATGAAACAAAAGTAGAATTAAAAAGAACTAAATTTGTACCAATTTGTACCACCAATAAATTTTTCGTACTATGTACCGTTTACAAAAAAACACTAGGTGCTTCTAGTTCAATATTAGGCTAGCAGGACCACATTGAAAAATACAAAGGAACAAATAAAAAAAGACTGATTTTGTACCAATATGTACCATTAAAAAAAACTAATTTATTTAATCAAACAGCTTGAAACAACTTTCAAATTAATCCAAATCTGTTATAATTAAAAATAAAGAGAATTTTTCCAGAAAAAGAATCTTGCAATTTTTGCATAAAACACAACATAATTTGTACCGTTAAAATATAAATTTTCAGAATATGCACCCCTGCCGTTCCTTAGAAACTATCCTAAATTCATATTCCTTTTAAACAGCAAAATCAATCGTTACTTCTGCAATAAAAGTACGTTAAAATGCAAATTGTTAGATTCTGTACCCTTGCCGTTCCTATAGAAACTAACCTAAATTCATATTAGGCTCAAGAGTAAAGTACCCTTTTGCACGAGCAGAATTAGTAATTACTCCTGCAATGAAAGTAACATAATTTGTACCACTAAAATATGAAATTTCAGATTTTGTACCCCTGCCGTTCCTATAGAAACTAACCTAAATTCATATTAGGCTCAAGAGTAAAGTACCCTTTTGCACGAGCAGAATCAATAGTTACTCCTGCAATGAAAGTAGCATAATTTGTACCACTAAAATATAAAATTTCAGATTTTGTACCCCTGCCGTTCCTATAGAAACTAACCTAAATTCATATTAGGCTCAAGAGTAAAGTACCCTTTTGCACGAGCAGAATCAGTAGTTACTCCTGCAATGAAAGTAACATAATTTGTACCACTAAAATATGAAATTTCAGATTTTGGACCCCTGTCGTTCCTATAGAAATTAACCTAAATTCATATTAGGCTCAAGAGTAAAGTAACCTTTTGCACTAGCATAAACAATATTTACTCTTGCAATGAAAGTAACATAATGTGTACCACTAAAATATGAAATTTCAGATTTTGTACCCCTGCCGTTCCTATAGAAACTAACCTAAATTCATATTAGGCTCAAGAGTAAAGTACCCTGTTGCACGAGCAGAATCAATAGTTACTCCTGCAATGAAAGTAACATAATTTGTACCACTAAAATATGAAATTTCAGATTTTGTACCCCTGCCGTTCCTATAGAAACTAATCTAAACTCATATTAGGCTCAAGAGTAAAGTACCCTTTTGCAGCAGAATCAATAGTTAGTTTTGCAATGAAAGTAACATAATTTGTACCACTAAAATATGAAATTTCAGATTTTGTACCCCTGCCGTTCCTATAGAAACTAACCTAAATTTATATTAGGCTCAAGAGTAAAGTACCCTTTCTATAGGAACGGCAGGGGTAACTACTGATTCTGCTCGTGCAAAAGGGTACTTTACTCTTGAGCCTAATATGAATTTTGGTTAGTTTCTATAGGAACGGCAAGGGTACAGAATCTAACAACTTACATTTTAACGTACTTTTATTGCAGAAGTAACGATTGATTTTAAAAGGAATATGAATTTAGGATAGTTTCTAAGGAACGGCAGGGGTGCATATTCTAAAAATTTATATTTTAACGGTACAAATTATGTTGTGTTTTATGCAAAAATAGCAATAGATTCTTTTTCTGCAAAAAGTCTCTTTATTTTTAATTATAACAGATTTGGATTAATTTAAACTAGAAGCACCATGTGTTTTTTTATAAACCGTACATAGTAAAAAAAATTTATTGGTGGTACAAATTGGTACAAATTCAGTTCGTTTTAATTCTACCTTTGTTTTATTTTTTATTTTATTTTTTTAATGTGGTCCTGCTAGCTTAATATTAACCTAGCAGCGCCACGTTTTTTTTGAAAACGGCACATGGTACAAAAATTTTATTGGTGGTACAAATTAGTACAAAATAGGTACTAAATAATGTAATAGATTTTAATCGATTCTGCCCAGTTGGTCCTGCTAGCTTAAGAGAGGTAATAAAATCAGAAAAGTCTTGCTTAAAATAAGTCCTTTCATTGTGTTGTCAGCCAATAATTTTGTTCAACTTTTACATATAAATAGGGCTGTGTCGATAGCTTTTAGACATGATAGTTTTAACTCTTGTGATAATAAAAAATGTATTATTTGACACTGTAGTTTTATATATTAAAAAAAAAACATGTACAATATAGTATAATATGAATCAAATAAGAGTTTACAAGATAGCTTTAAAACTTTATGCCCGTATACATGTCGCTGATGATATAAAATCCACCAACATTTCTTTATGTTGGGACTTTATTGGGTTATCTACCAACTTTTGGGTTTCTCTGCGTTATCCATTATCTCCTTTTATTGAAAAAACAATGTCAAAGATTTATAATATTTATAATAATTTTAAAACATAATAACGAAATATATTATTTTTTTTTTCAGACTGAACACCCGCCATCTTGTGAAGACGTAGCATCTTTAGACGTAAGTACTACAGTCTATTTATTAAAAGAAAATATTTCTTGAAAATATTATCCTCGCACACAAAATATAACTAAATAAGCAATGCATACATTTCATATTTTACAATTTTATAAGAAATTTTACAGAATAAAGTGCTAAAAATCGACTTCTGTAGTCTTATACAGGGTGATAATTTTAAAACTTACAATGGCTATATCTCAAGTACTAACGAACCTACCAGGTCAAACCTTGATCGGTATTCTCTTGTCAAACTTTCAGAGAAATGAGTAATCCTCGGCGCATCTTAATCCGTCAGACGACAGACACGTCCATCATTCCCGTGGTCGAGGTCATATCTTTTTTCTTTGTACAAAAACTAGTAACTTGATCTCATATAACGTACCGATATAAACATGTCCAATGTTAAAAGCATCAATGACATCATCTCGCTTATACAGGGTGTTATTGAAATACACGTACATATTAAAACTGGGTATTGCGCAGATCCCCACTGAATGTAGAAAAATATTATTTTTTAAAAATACCCCTTATTAAGGGAGTTATTAATTTTTGAAAATTAATTCTAAAACAAACGTACTTCACTGATATGTTGAGGATGACCTATATAAATTAGGTTTATTTACCTATTTTAAACATCAACAGTAATTAATATGCAAGTTTTTGTCAGATGATAAGAAAACTAGTCTTGTAAGAAATAACCATGTTGCCAAGATTTTCGAATTAATTTCTATTTCCGAAGACTGGTTTTTACTACCCTCGTTATCAAAAAACTAGAATATTTGATAAATGATTGTTTTTAAACTATACATTTTTGAAACTATAGATTATTAAAATTTTAGTTGATTTACGAATCTGGCTAACACGAGCGCGTCATTTCCAAGTTGGTAAAAAGTGTTGTTACGATTACTTTTAAATATTTTTTTACGATGCCACTATTTACGAATATTGAACTAACGGATATAGTGCTGGTTTATGGGGCAGCTGGAGAAAATTCTCGGCAAGCACAAATCCTGTATCGCGAACGGTTTCCCAATCGGAGAATTCCGGACTGTCGTACGTTTATTTCAACTGTTCAGCATCTAAGAGACCATGGAAAATTTGAGAGTGTCAATGCAGATCGAGGGAGAACAAGAACACAAAGAACATTGGCGGCCGAAGAAGAAATATTGGAAGCTGTTGAAAACCGGCCTCAATTAAGTTGTAGAAGACTAGGTCTTGAAATTGGAGTGTCCTCATTTGTTGTGTGGCGGACACTTAAAGAACAAGGTTTACATCCTTATCACATCCAAAAAGTCCAGGCCTTATATCCAGGTGATGAAGAAAAGAGAGTGGAGTTTTGTGAATGGATGATTCAAAAATGTGTGGATATTCCTGATTTTCTAAAAATATTGTATACTTCATTCTTCATTCACTCGTGATGGCGTGTTCAATATGCACAATACGCATATTTGGAGTGATGAAAATCCTCACGCCATTAGAGAAACTGGGCATCAAAGAAAATTTTCAATAAATGTTTGGGCTGGCATAATAGATCAGTATTTAATCGGGCCTTATGTTCTCCCGAACAGATTAAATGGGCCAGGATATCTCCACTTTTTAGAAGATATTTTGCCAGTACTCCTAGAAGAGATACCGTTACAATTAAGGCAACGGATGTGGTACCTACTAGATGGCGCTCCTCCTCACTTTGATTTAAACGTACGGCAGTTTTTGAACATTAGATTTCCTCAAAAGTGGATAGGCAGAAATGGACCTACTAAGTGGCCTCCGAGATCTCCGGACTTAAATCCATGCGATTTCTTTTTGTGGGGTCACATGAAACAACTGGTTTATAATGAACCTATTAATAGTGTTGAACAATTAACCAATAAAGTTAATGCGGTAGCCGAGGAACTACGACAAAATCCAAGACTAATTTCTAATGTTCAAAGTTCTTTGGAAAGACGATTGCAAGTGTGTGTAAATAATAATGGACGGCATTTTGAACAATTACTGTAATAAACTTTATTTTGAATTAATTGGTTTTGCTACGGCAACTTCTTTAAATATGGAAACTAGTAGGTCGGAAAAGGGGACTCTTCCCCAATATTTAAATTTTAGAATTTGAAGTTAAAATTGGTGCCAATCGTTTTTGGTCATTACATACTATTCCCCATTTTAATATGTACGTGTATTTCAATAACACCCTGTATAGATCATGTCACGAATACATGAATATATGAGAGAACGGGCGTTGGAAAATAAAAATCAACGGGTTTCAGGATTTTTTCCAGAAGTCAACGAGTTAAGAAATAATGAATGTGTTCCTTTCATTTGCACCATACTGTATATTATATTAATCAAGGTGCACCATAGGGATTTTACATTATGAGTAATATAATCACTAAAAGAAGTTATGGTTATGTTCTTGACATGGATCTGTTTTGTAACTTTTCCTGCTTCCAAAATTTACGTTTTCTGTTTAGTTTGATGTCTCGCTATGAGGATGTCGAGCGTTGAAATTGTTTAATTCCAACACCGTTTGAACTTTTTTAACAGTTAATTTATCAACCATTGATTGTAGCCGGTTACAAATAAGTAAAACTGAGGTCAGTAACTGTATATTTTTTTTTAATAAATTTGTCAAATATGTACCGGTAAAATATGGAACCTGAGGTTCCATGATGATAGCTGTAAACAGAGTGTAATCTACGCATTACACTAAATTTTAAAGATATACATATTAATTTCCTCTTATCTATGACCTATAACCTTATATCACCGAACAGAGCAGAATCTCTTGGTTCAAATACTTTGCAAAAAGTTTCCGGATATTTTTCATACCTATATCAATTTTGTTTGGGTTATTAACAGTAATTATCAAGAAATCAGTTCACTTACACGATATATATCATTCCATTTTTCAAAATATGTCTCAAGCAACATAATCGAAATTGATGTGTATTCGCTTACATATACAAAGTAACTCAAAAATATCTAGAAAGAAAACCAAAATAAACATTTTTGTTTCATTAGGGGTGGGGGTTGGGATTGAGTACGAAGGTGTAAAGAAAATAAAGAAAGGTCCTTTTTTCTCACAAAATCAATTTATTGGCGACCGGTTTCGAAGAGATCACTTCATCATCAGGCCCACCTAAATGGAAAGTCATGGTGTCAATGTATTGAAATGTGAAAATTATTTAATACATAAATTAACAAAACAAAAACTAAAAAAGAACTAAACGGGAAGGTTAATAATAATTTAACTTACCAATACATATCCATTACGGATAAGCTACGTGATTTTACCATACAAATTTAAAAAGTCGCACTGTGAATATACAGGGTGGCTCACGCTCAACGGGACAGAGCTTTATGGGAAAACGACCAAAGATATAAAAAATTCGTTTGGGAGGAATACGTAGGTTACAGACGGCTACAATTTAAAATTTGTTAGATGTATACAGGATGTCCCACATAAGAGAAAATATACAAAGTTATATTATTTTTAATGGAACACCCTGTTTTTTATTTTAGAATTAAAAACTACATCAAAAATAATGTCAGTTAACTAAAGGTTCCCTATTACTATTATTATTAGTATTCGATTTATTTGAATTTTTAAGGAAAAAAAGTCTCCCAGAAATTAATTGTTTACTCTTGTTTGAATAATTTTTAATGAACTAATTTTTTTTTATGTGGGACATCCTGTATACATCTAACAAATTTTAAATTATAGCCGTCTGTAACCTACGTATTCCGCCCTAACGAATTTTTTATATCTTTGGTCGTTTTCCCATAAAGCTCCGTCCCGTTGAGCGTGAGCCACCCTGTATATATAAACAGTATTTAAATATTTTTTTTGTTCCTCCAACCATAAGTATAGGCTCTTCTTGTAGTTTAGTTTGGTGTTTTTAACCGTTTAAATATAATTTTTATATATATTCAGTCAATTTTTAACTTTGTATGTTACAATTACGTAGCTTATCCGTAATGGATATGTCATAGTAAGTCAAATTATTATTAACCTCCCCCTTTTCTTCTTTCAATTTATTTGTTCAATTTTTAATTTTTGTATTAAATAATTTTCACGTTTCCGTACATTGACTTTATGACTTTCCATTTAGGTGTGCCTGATGATGAAGTAATCACTTCGAAATCGGTTGCTGATATATTGACTTTGTGAGAAATAAAACACCTTTCTTTACACATTGGCACTCAATTTTTGTTTCCTTCAAGGAACCCGTATAATCGACAATATCCTGTACACGTTCGCAACCTGTTAAAATTTATTTAGCAGGAATAAAATCTCAAAAAAACAAGTTGAGTGAATTTAGTTCCTGAGATCGTATAATACAAGCTGAAATGGTAGTCTCGTATTACGAGTAGGTATATCCCAACGACGCAAAACTACTAGACCAATCCATTCATTCATTAAGCCTTTATTTATTGTAATCATTCAGTTTGTATTTTATATTACCCAGTTAAAGCAGTCGTATCGGCTGCCGCATTAGAGTGAGCGAGACGGCTGCTAATTTGAGTGGGAATGGTTTGAGTTTGGTTATTTTAGGAGCGAGCATTCATTTTATGAATGAATAAGTACTTACGTCTACGAGGCTTGCTTTACACTACTGGCACACTTTAAAATTAATTTTTTTTCTTTCCTGAAAATCACCTTCCACTATAATAGTTGCAACGAAAAATTACATTAAACTGATAATAACTGTCATTAAGAATGCACATACATCATTAATGTAATTTTGAAATATTTTTGTGCATTTTAGAGCCTTATGTTAAGTCTCTATAAATTTATAACCATAAACACTTCTTGTAACAAGACTCTCCCATAATAATTTGACAACTATGTGGACAACACCGTGAATGTTTGCGTATTCGATTTTTGCAAACAAAATTAGTCTAGTAGTTGTTCATCGTTGGTATATCCAAAGATAAGTGGTATTTTCTAGTAAAAGTTGTGGCAAAGTATTTAATAAGAACTAGAGGTAGTACGAATACATTAT